TTTTTTTTTTTTTGTTTTTTTTTTGCATTTAAATAATTTAATAGAACATTTGATCTGCAAAAGTTGTTCCTCTAAGAAGAAAGGTTTACGGTGGCAAATGAAGTCTTTCATTTGTGTAAAATGTACATGTACTCTTGTGTGAACACTGAATTTGTGAGCGCTGAAAAAATCTTCACCTTGTTTTCTAGCGTGCCATCATTTAAGGCAGTGGGGTTTTTCAGGTTTCTCCTCCCTTCCTCCTCCTTCAACAGTCTCCTTTTTTTAAAACAAAAACAAGCCTCTGGTTTTTCTTTTTCTTTTTTCCTTTTTCTTTATTTTCAGTACAAACCAACTCAATTTGTTACCAGTGTTTGCATTCCCTGGCTGCTTTAATCCCATGCCTTTCTGTTTGTGCCTTCCCCACCCACCCGTCTGGTCTTTTTATATTTTTTGCTAACTCTTGGAGAAGCGAATAACTGTTAAAGCTATCTGTAAATTTTACTATTAAAGTATTTTTTTCTCATTCCCCTTTTAGGTATTTTTATATTTACACTTTAAAAATTTAAGTAGTCTTCAAATAATGGAAAATATATTTTGTATTGCCTTAACCCAAACCTTTCATAGCCTTCTAATATTTCTTCATTGAACTTGTTACCTTTTAATTAAAATTCAGCAGTGTTTGGTTCGGTCACAGTTTAATTTACAGTAAATTATTTAATGCCGTGAATGTAAATTAAATATGTGATTACATCCACATACATAGTTTGAAAAAAGAGTTGGGGCACTTTAATGATAGAATGTTAAGTGGCATTTACTTTAACATATTTCTTTAAGAGGAAAGAGTTTGTGTTCAACCTACGTGGCTGCATTTAATGCAGCTTTCCTGGAGATGATGCTTTTATAAAAAGTACTGTTAGCTTTTAGCAATTTCCTTTTATATACATTTACAAAGTACTGCAGACCAACCTGACCTTTAATGGGCACTGATGTGTGAAATGCCTTTTTAAAATAAAATAATGCTAAAATAAGACCAAAACTGATGTCATCAATTAAATTAATCATCATTCTCAACATGTTTAAAGTGTTTTACTTCAAAAAGAAAAATACATATTTCAACAAGATGGAATTCATAACAGTTACTCATACCAATACTAAGAGTTTAAAAAGTGATGTTAATTTGACAATGTTTAAAATTTTAGAGTCACATTTTTATTCTGATCAGATAATTTTATCAACAAGATGTTGAGCTTTTGTTCATAGAAACTAGTACAAGTTGTACCACATTATGCATAATCACAGTATTTATTTTGGTTTAGATTATTGTGAATGTGTAGACTTATGTTCACCGCTTAGGGAACAATTATTTATAAATTATATTAATCCAGTATTGTTAGCTGCTATTAGCAAAACTGTTCCAAACACTTAATATTTGCAAAGATCTGTATCGCATTTACCACACTGAAGTGTTTTTAAAGAATCACCCTCATTGTTGAAAGCAAATGTACTCTTAGGGTGCAGATATTAGTGTTCCAATAAGCATGTGATAATTTTAAGGTGGTGGTAGCGGGAAGATAATCTTGATTCCATTGGGAATCTTAGGTTTGCCTCAATTTATGGTTTTCATAAATTTTATGGAAAATAGCTTTTCCTGGACTGCTCAAGTTTCTTTTTGGTAAACAGTAACTTTCTAAAAGAAAAAAAAAGCATGAAGGAAAAATTGAGGTGTATTTTACATTGCCTCAAATGACCAGCATTGTATTCATAAAATACTGTATATCTTGCAAATCTTTATTTAAACAGAACAGTTGAACTGTTCCTTTTTTTCAATCTGAAGTAAAATACTTTCAAGACCTTTTAGTTTGCCTGCTCATTTGTCTTGTACATTTCATCTCTGTATTTGACTCAAGTCTAATTCCTTTTTGAGTTTCAATACTTTTGTGAAGTTTTTTGTGAATATATGAAAAAATAAATGTTTAATCTAAATACTACAGTTTATCAGCATTCTTGACATTCGCCCTGTTTTTTCCTTTGCACTTATGGAAAGAACGGGATATATCAATGGCTCCTGTTTGTAGTATGTCTCCTTGTTGTCTGTAGATGCCTTTAGTCTTTGTAGATAGCTTCCTTGGGTGATTGCCCACTCTTTTTCTCCATTAATTTTTTAAGTGGGTTTTTTGAGAAATGTATATTAGACCAAATTTGAGAAGTTAAAATAAATGTGCAGGTATTCATGTGTACAGGTTTTTAAATTAATATTTGCGGTCCTATTGTCAAGTGGCAAGTCTAAGAGATGGTGAGAATTATACTATACAAACCTTGGGCGTTTTTTATTGTTTTTTCTTTTTTATAATGTTAATTTTTTTCTCTTCTGTCTTATACCAGATACCCACTCTCTATCTCTTGTATTTCAGGAGCAGCCAGGGGCCCTATTCAGGATTGGGGTCTAGATATTGTACCTACAGTATCAGGCTGGGTATTGTACAGGCACATTAGTAAATTAAAATCCTTGCCCTAACAGGTGTCTAACTTTTAAGTAACATTTCACTGTTCTGATCCCAGATTTTCCTGAACTTCATCCATGCTCTTGACACTAAAATGTTTCCTTAGTTTTTTTCATACAGAAAAGGCAGTTCAATTAGTAGATAAACATCTTTTGGAACGTAGTTGTCTGTGACATAGCCCATTTACTACTTAAGAATTGTTCTAACTGGAGTTTAGTTCAGGCTGTTTCTTCTGCTTGTTCAGGTTTGGGAAGGAGCATCTAAAATCTTAGTGCAATAAAAGACATTACAAAATAAATCTTGCTTCTAGCATAGTCCCTGGACCATCAGCACTACTCAAATTCTATCGTTGTATAAACCTTTCAAATTCCAGAAAACCCAAGCCTCTTTCTGTAGGCCTCGCTTCTGCTCCATAACGAAGAGCATCTAAGTTATTTGCAAAAGAAGCTGAAACATCCAAAAACCTGTTTTAGGATGTCAGACTATTATTTCTTCAAGTTTACCCTACTTACTCATTTTAAGTTTATTCAAATGTATTTAAAAAATTGAACTTCGTATAAGGAAGGTGATTTATAGTTTAGTGTGATAGAAAGAAGTGTGTGTTTTCTCCATGCAATTATTATTTGATAGGCAAATTAGTCAACCAGTAAAAAAAATTATTTTTGTGCGAAATTAGATATGATGCTGGTTTTACAAAATGTCATGCTCTGAGTCATCTGAAATTTTACAAGTTTTGCATCTTAATTTTTCTAATAATCCTTTATTACACTTTGTAATTACTTTTATTTTCTTAAAGTATCTGTAGAAAAAAAATCATGTTCTGATCTACTATGGAAGTTTTTCCCAATACAGTATATTACAAATTGACCTCTCCCACTTGTATCTGGGGCCATGCACAATTCCTATGGGATGCAGTTAAGTTATCAGAAAATGATGTCTCAGAGCCCAAAGTTGTGCTATTAAATGAAATCACCCAGTAATTAGAACTTTGGGTTGACATTTAAATCTAAATGCAAATGTGACTCCAGCTTGAGTTTCTTGAATTTCAGGATTTGGCCCTAACTCCAGTAGAGTAGCAAGAGACTATAGTAGAGTGCCTTTAACTAACATTCCGTGTTGCTTCCAAGTTTTAAATTGAGAGCAGTGTTTCTCAACCTGTGGATCGCAACCCAGAAATGGGTCACAAGAATTTATAAAAGGGTAGTGAACAATCACAGAAAAACATGGAAAAACATGTTTTTTCTTTTAATGGAGAAAAACATGGGAAATCTTGGGTTTCGCCTTGCAGGCTGGCTGGAGGCTAGCTACTTGAACTATTTATCGGGTCAGGACTGGCCGTCAATGTTTACAAATAGGTCCTGGAACAAAAACAGTTGAAAAACACTGATCTAGATGATGTAACTGAAATTGCACCAGCTGATTGAACTGCTTTTAAGATGCATAAAATGGTAATATTTCATTGCTATCCATATCTTGTCTCTAGCGCAATACCATATGTAAGTAAGATTACTTCTGTTGGAAGGAGAAAGCAAATTCAAACAGGTAAGATTTTAAAATTATTTTTATTTCTTAACTTGGCTTTCTAATGTACAGGAAGTCATAATTTTAGAGAGTAATAGCATAACATCTTTATATTCATCAGTAGCAAAGTTCCCTTTTTTGAGGAAGTTCTAAACCAGAATTGTTTGCATACTTAATTCATATAAAATATTTCAGCATTGTTCTTAACAACATTATTATATTAATTTTCTTCTTGATCTTAACTTCAAAGATTCCAGCTTTCATTTAGTGATAGCAACTGTTGCTATCTGGTAGAAAGAGAAAAGCCCCTCCAGCATTCTGTTGCCAGAACAGGAATAGGGCTGATATGTAACTTATTAACAGGGATCTGGGTTTTCCATTTCCCACAAAAATTGAGAAAATCCAGAGGCAAACACGGATTTCTGATTTTACCAGGGAAGCCCATGGATTTTGCAGTTTTGCAAACAGTTTTCTGCAGGCTGACAGAATTCCAGCTTGCAAGGAGTGGGGGAAGTGGAAGGAGGATAGTCAGGCAGGGGGTACCATGTGCACATAAATGCACATGGCCGCCAGGCAGCCTGGAGAGCAGCTCCAGCAGGTAAGTTGGGGGGAGGAGGGGATTGAGGCAACCATAGGGAAGGA